CTGGGAGATTTAGTCGACTAAATCTCCGTATTTAGTCGACTAAATCTTCATATTTTACAAAAAAAAAAATAAGTCAGTATGATTTTAATCGATTAAGTAGAGAGATTTAGTCGATTAAATCTCCCAACAACCGTTTAGTCGATTAAAAATGCAAGGTAGTCGATTAAAGAGGGGCAGATTGGTAGATAGTTTCGAATCAGGGGCAAAATGATTATTAATTAATTAATAAGGGGCAAAAGGGTGAAAAAGCCCAATTATTTGATTCCCTTCTAAATTTTAGTTTTGTCCCTCAAACATTATAAGCATGAGCCGAGCTCATATGTAAATAATAAATAATGAATTTGATTTTGATGTATTATTATTCTAAAAAATAATATTTCAATAATGTATTAACATGCATGTCATATAATAAGTTTGATTATGTTAATAGTTATATTCAATGTCGAACTTAATTATTGAATGTTGTAGCATCATATCATTAGATTTGAATGCCCACGAAAAGAAATAGGTAAAAAAATATATGCCGGGTATAAATCATATGCATTTGAAATATGAAATAAGGAGCAATGGGATAGACAAAACGAATCATAAGAAGACTTAATTAGATACATATTTTTGAATTTGTATAGTCTCATACATGCACAAAACTCTTATTTATCTTTTATTGTGTACCCCGTACACTCCGGATCACACATGAATTTTGTTCATTTGGTGTTTGTCTAAATTGTGCACCCAGTACACTCAGGTCACACCCCCAATGAGCTAACACTCAAAGTGAGCTCCAGTACGGAACTTCCATAAATAAGTTTTGCACCTAGTACACTCACTCAGATCACTCAATGAGATATCTCCCAAAGTGAGTATTAGTTTCCTGTTTGTACATCCAGTGCACTCGTGTACCTGGTACACGTCTGGTCATAGGTGACCCAGTACACACAGTGTCCATCATAATTGTGAACCCCATTCACTCAAGAAGTCCATATTAATTCAATTGGCCAAAGAACATACAATTATCAAATTGTCACACATGCCTTAGTTGCATAACAGTACTTCCATTGATTCTGCAACTTAGCCCCTAGTGCTTGTCCACTGATCTTTTGACCAATGATACAACTTCCTCTATATGAATGCATCAAACCATATTACTAACACATCACTCAATCATCCATTTATAAACCATAACTTCTGTAGAAGTCTGGTGGAACAATATAACGGAGTAAAACTCCTAAACCAAAAATTTACCTATATATAAGCGCTTTTCTTCCAACCTTGCTTGTAATCCAAAAAAGCTACTCCAATATACCGTATATACCAAGATCACCTATTTATGTATGAAATTGGTATCAAAATAACATAAAGTCATTAAATGTTGACTATAACACCTCATAATTTTAAATGCATAATTATTTATGATAAGGTGATTTAAAAGGGAAGGATTAGTGAAAATCTTGAAATTAAGGTCAAACTGTGTGAAAAGAGCAAAATGGTAATTTACCAAACACGTATCCCTAGGCATGAAAAATTGAGTAGAAGGTCTCAAATGATAAAAATAATACCGGAAATGGATTCAGAACGAAAAATCGAGTGGATAGGCAAGTTTCGAAAAATTTGATGAATAGTGAATTTTTCGGTGTAAAATACTGCGGTATAATTGTACCGATAAGCGCGAAAATATTATCAGTATTTTTAGGAAACAAAAATATGACGTGAACAAGAAAAACACGTAGGTTATGAATTTGTGGGTTAAATTAGGTGATTTATTAAAGTTAATCGCATGTGAGACCCACCTATGGATTTAAGTGACTTAAGTGAACCCACTTCAATTGAAAATCTGATTTTCTCTCTCCTCTCTTTCTCTCCAACCCGTGGAGCTCCTCCATTGTTGAGGGCTTTGTGTTGAAACCTTCATCCAACCAAAACAACACCAAATCCTCTCCAAAAGCCAAAGTGTTACACATCAAAGTTTATGGAAATGACATTCTAAACCCAACCATACCACTCTCCACTCTTGAAACTCATTGGTTTGGGAAAAAACCATCACCCATTTCCACAAAAATTTGGAGGAAAATAGGTGTTTTTGGAATTGTTGCTTAAGCTATTGCTTGGGTATAGTGTGGAGGAGCCCTTGGCCTTCATCCTTGGTGAGTAACTCTACTTGTAGGTGTTTAGTTTTGTGGATTTGAAATTGGTGACCTAGAGTACGTGTTCTTGAATTGATATGGTTAGAGGGCTCAAATGGAAAATGTGTATTAAATAAAAGTGGATTAGAATGATGTGTTAGAGTGATTAAACTCATGAAAATTATTGGTGATATTTTTAGTAACTTAGGCAAATTTTGATGGATGTGTCATGGAAATCATAAATGTGATGATTGAGAATTAAGTGAATGGGTTATGAGTATGAATTAATTGTATGATGAAATATGTGTATGAATGTTGAATTGAATTGAAAAGCCTTGGGGCATACTTCTTGAAGAATTCGAATTATAATGAAAAGTAAGGAAAAATGATGTAAAAAATTGTGTAGTTGAGGTTGCATGGTTGTAAATGGTGTTTAAATGGATGTAGGTTGGTATGATGTTGTGGAATTGGAAGGAAGAATGTTGGATGTATTGAGTATGTGGTAATTTGACCTATAGTGATGTATAAGGAAAAATAAGTGTAAATAGCCCTTTGGCCTAAGTGAAGGGGTTTGTGTATGAGTATTTTGAAAGTGAATTGATTGCCTTGTGAATTGTATTGTTGATCATTATTGTTTGATCATTTCGGTTGCCTCTCATGGGACCAATAGAAGTGGATTAAGCTTGGAGCTTACATGGAAAAATAATATTTATGGAGTTGAGGTAAACCTTTGGAACTTGGGTTTAGTCCCTTGTGTGCTCCACCACACCTGGTGGAAGGTTGTGGTTGGATTTATGCTTTTGACATGGTGTGAATATGTATGTTCATGCATTATTGCTTGATTGTGTGACATGCTTGGAGCATGTTGTGTGAAAAATTGTGTGGTCTCTGGCCAGTAGATATGTGTTGGTTTGGACTTCCGCTGAAGATATCCTTTGGAGATTCCGGTCGGGTTGTTGCCATGGGGCCGACTCTGGGAGCGGTACTAGGATGATCCAAACGAGGGACTTCCGCTGGATATGGCTCATGAGGAGTTCCAGTTGAGTTTTGCCATGGGGTCGTCTCATCCATGGGAAAGGCACCAGGAAGATTCCGGGAGTTATATGATGGGGTCCTTGAATGGAATCCTAATGTGGATGTTCTTGGATTTGTCCCCAATTGTTTGGGATATTGTATGTCATGCATTTTTACTGAACAATATATATTATATATAGTTAGGGCTGTAAAACTAGTCAGCTTGACTTCTTTGACCCCCTATGAAATACGTTAGGCCAAAATGATTAAAATTAAAGTGTGTTAGTATTTACCGAGACAAAGTTATTAAACGAACCACTTATTAAGGATAGGTTGCAAGCCTAAATGGGCTCCCCTTTTTTATTTTTTTGAAAATTTTTCATTCAAACAATCAAAATCTTATAGTGCAATTGCGAAAAGACAAAGGAAAAATAATCTTCAATGCATCTAAAATTAAACTACAACAAACTCAAAGTACTCAAGTCTCGAACACATCAAATTCAAAAACAAACTCAAATTTTTTTAAGCTTTTATGTGTTTTTGCCTATTTTTAAAAGTGAATTCTATGCTTTAATTTTATGTTTTTTATTAGCAAACAGACTATACTAGACATAAGAGAGGATCCACTCCCAATGCTATGGGAGTGGATCCTCTCATGTGAAAAAGGGTCATGTGGTCATGTTATTTGATCACAACCATTCATTGATGATGACATAAGAGAGAGAAAAATATATAATTTTTAAATGAGTGATTGTGATCAAATAACATGATCACATGACAACTTTTCCACATGAGAGGATCCACTCCCGATGCTATGAGAGTGGATCCTCTCATGTGAAAAGTGGTCATGTGGTCATGTTATTTGATCACAACCATTCATTGATGATGACATAAAAGAGAGAAAAGTATATAACTTTTAAATGAGTGATTATGATCAAATAACATGATCACATGACAACTTTTCCACATGAGAGGATCCACTCCCGATGCTATGGGAGTGGATCCTCTCATGTGAAAAAGTGGTCATGAGGTTATGTTATTTGATCACAATCATTTATTGATGATGAGATAAAAGAGAAAAAAATATATAATTTTTAAATGAGTGCTTGTGATCAAATAACATGATCACATGACAACTTTTCCACATGAGAGGATTCACTCCAGATGCTATGAGAGTGGATTCTCTCATATGAAAAAATAATCATGTGGTCATGTTATTTGATCACAACCATTCATTGATGATGACATAAGAGAGAGAAAAGTATATAATTTTTCAATGAGTGATTATGATCAAATAACATGATCACATGTCAACTTTTCCATATGAGAGGATCCACTCCCAAGATGCTATATATGTTGTTTTATATCTTTGTATTTGGTTAGTCCACATAGTATTTGAAAATAAAACAGTGGAGAAACTAAAAAAATAAAAAATATGAGCATGTTACTTTCTTGGAAATCAATATATATATATATATATATATATATATATATATATATATATATATATATATATTTTAAAGCTTTTACCAAATATGAAATAATGTTATGGGGTTTACATTTATCATGCAACTTGACCACAAAAAATTTCCTACATACACAATATTTTGTGGGGCCCGCATTTTTTGAAGTAAAAAAAAAAAAATACTACAGCACGGAAATAACGAATCTCTGTAACATAACACAATCAATTTTTCTACAAAATAACTTTTATAAAATCCTAAATTATATATTCCCATGTTCATTTTCACAAAAATAACTCTACAAGTCCTGATAACTTTTTTATTAATTGAAATGTCATTTTCAACTAAAGACAGAGAAATAAAAATAAATAAATGAAGGTACGTATGGGTGAATGATTCTGAAAGACTATGCCCAGTACGATTGAGTTGTATCACCTACCACAATTAAATTAAATTGCACTCAACAGCCAGCAATACACAGTTGAGGGGAACATGCATGTGCGCCAAACCCCATTTCGTCATCTAGGAAACAGACACAAAAGATAAAATAGCGATCCTCTTTCAAATTTTTATTTTTTTAAAAGCTCAATAATGTAGCCATCACCATCACCCTCAAGCCGCAATATCATGGCGAATGTGTCTGAGCAGCACCGGAATAACGATATCCGGCGAGCTTAATTGCGGCAAATGACCCTCCGTTGACATGACCTCGACGATGGACTCGCCGCCAAGGTGTTGGTGGAGGTACTCCGCCACCACCACCGGAACCGCCAAGTCCTTCATACTTTGTATAATATGGCATGGGACAGTAACAAGGCTTAAAATTTGCCTCATGTCACTTTGAAAAATGGTCTGCAACACACTCAAAGCAATGTCTGGCCTCATATTGAACAAGGTTCTGCTGAATTCTTGAACCGCCACCGACTCCATGTCCCCTCCAACAGCCATTGGAGCAAACCCTGAACACCACGCTTTATAATTCGCCCCCATAGCATCGAATAACTGATCCAACTCTTCCTGCTCAAACGATCCAAAGTAATCCACATCGTTCAAATACCTTGCCCAAAAATTAACCATGATTATGTAATAATAATAATAATTGATCCTTGAATAATTAGTTCTAACTTACTAACAAAAGTCAAATAAAAGCATTATTATTACTCAATAATTAAGATGCAAGTTTAATTAATTAATCAATGGTTAATTATATATTACCTAGGGGAACCGGAGATCATGATGATCTTGGCGAATAAATCGGGGCGAGAAATAGAAGCAATAGTACCGATCATAGCGGAAACTGAGTGACCAACAAAGATGCAGGAATGAACTCGAAGCTCTTCTAAGATAGCGAGCAAGTCGTGAGCGTAGCCTTCTAAAGTTGAATAGCGCTCAAAATCGAAATAATCGGGGTTAGTGGTACCAGCTCCCATGTTGTCGTAGATTATGACACGAAACTCGTCGAGGAGATGAGGTACGAGGTGTTTCCACACGGATTGGTCCGTGCCAAACCCGTGAGCCAGAACTATGAACCGCGTGCCCGATCCCAACACTTTCACGTTGTGAGCTTCTTCAACTACCCCCATTTTTTTTTTTTTGATTAACTTTCTTCCTCTTTCTGTTCTTTGCTGTCTCTCTGCTTCGCTTAACCGGAATTGGGAGGGTCAACGCTTTTGTGAGCGTGACTTTTAGGCTTCTCAAGTTTCAGACCTCCTCGTTATGTTTGGACTTAAGAAGGCTGTGACGACAACAAGAGAAACACTATGGAAAATAAGTTTAATACGTATAAATTAATGTATGATCTTATGTGTTATTTATTTGGTCCTTTTCTATACCTACATTTAATATATAAATATAGAGAAAAAATATGTGTCATTTCAGTGATGTAAAATTGTGTCATTTCACATGATGTAAAATTATGTCATTTTAGGAGAGAGAAAAAGATAAATAAATGAGGATAGAGAGTTAACAAAAAAAAAATAAAGGTGTGAGTCTCACCTCTTTGTGAGAGTGAAAGGATATAAGTTGTGTCATGTAAAAGGATAAACACTCCTACCATAAGTATATTTTTTCCATTCGTTTGAAGGCAAGGGAGGTGATCGAATTTTCTTCGCGGGATATATTACTAAATTACCAATAACGTATTTCTTAATATGTTATTATTATTAAGTCATGTTTTAAATTTTATTTATAAAAGATTTTTAATTATTAAATAAATATAAACGTGACTTAATAATAATAACAATTATATTAAAAATTATTTAAAAAAGTTGTATTGGTAACATTTTCTTTCTTTGTCAAAACTAAAAACAGGATAGTACTGGTCCAGCCTCAGGCATTAACAGTAACTTGCCATTACCGTTGCAATCAACGATTCAACATCACCATCGCATCCCCCCTGTAAAGTAACTTGTCACTGATTAGATTAGGCTTTTTTTTAATATTAATATATATAAAAAATATTATTAACAGAATATAAAATAAACAATTTATCTAATTTCGTTGTTCTACTTAAGAGGCGTTGATTTAGTCATGACAACTTAATTAAATCACATGATTTAACCTGCCCAAAGGGTTTCTCCACGGCGCTTTCGGATTAATTGGTTTCATATTGTATTTGAATTATAAGAGTTATAATTTCTGAAAATAATAAAAAGACACCAACCTAAAACTGGATTAATAGAGTCTATTAAAACTTCAGACAGTTAATATATCTATCAAATATTATAAAAAAAAACGTTATTTCATGTGATATCATGCAAGACTTCACCATAAATATAAAATTTAGTTGTCATGTTGCAGTGTTTGAAAAAGATGCCGATCCCTGTACCAAAAAAAAAAAAAAAAAGATGCCGATCCACATGACGTTTTCTACACAACCCACGCTATTCTCCCAATATAACCTTCCCTACCATATCCTCGTCCTCACACGCAACCTACACTCTCTTCTGCCCAGAATCCTTTTCATAGTTATATTGTCCTACTCTATATTTTTATAATTTTTTAGTCTATTGAAGCTTTCACAATCCTCGATATTTTTTAGTATTTTATAATTGAAAATGAATCAAATTATTATCTTTCTGTATTGTTATAAAATTTTGAAGGTCAACAAGAAATAATTTTTGAAAGAAACAAAAGATTATTGCACAAAAAATGTGGCATGAGTTATAATTTTCTAAAAAAGAAATTCATGCAAAATCGAACCTTGAAGCAAATAAATTTATTTCTAGATTAATGTGTATAATTTTGGTATCTCAACACCAGGACAAATAAATGGTCTGTGACGATGAAGATACCAAGTGCATGATTAGTGCCCGTAAGAAATAGTCTCTAATGACAATGCTTGAACTATGATATTGACTATATTAGCAACTCATCTTTACTTGTGTAATCACTAGAGTAGAGTACTCAACTCTCATGTTGTAAATAAGAAAATTAAAATACAATGATGAGTTTACATCTACGCCAATGTACGCAGGATAACATTAATGTTGGCATAGGAGAAGACGACGATGATGATTGGAGTATAGATTAAAGTATCTAGGATCGATAATGATCTATGATGCACCGACACTGACATGACATTCCGATACGTAAATTTTCTAAAAAATGTCATATTTCGACACGTTAGGACACGTTTTGATATTAAATATATTTTTAATATATATAATATGATTTACATTTAATACATATAACATCTCATAATAAGTCATATAACTAGAATATTTTTTTTTACTCAAAACTTCTTTAGAATTCCTTTAAAAAAGTAAAGAACAAATAAATTTATTATTTTTAAAATCCATAAAATGGCACTAGACAACAATTCTAAAACAACCAATTAAAAATGACGTGGCCAAGATATTTAAAAAGAGAGAGAAGAATTCAAATCTAGTACAAATAGAAGAAAGAGGATGAAATAATGGCATTCCATTGGTATGTGCAAAAGCACACGGATCGCAAAAAAATATCCATAGCCGCAGATATGCTTCAATCTCACGCTTAAAAGTTACATGGCCATGAACAAACAAATTCTTTTAACCTCTGTTGACATCTCAAAACAAGACACGTCCACTTCAGGCAACCAAACTTAGCATCACAATCACAAGAATCTGAAAACTTGGATAAGCGTAGATTAGAAGAGAAATTTGCGGTGCTGAATACTGGATCTTGCTGTTCTTGTGGGTATAAATACCTCGAGGTCGTTAGTGGCCCTTCATATCTGGTTCCGGCGGGATTTTAGTTTGAGAAGCTACCGGATGATTGGCGACGTGTGAAGGCGACGAAGTGTTTCTGCATTGGTGATTTTTAGGTTTTATTTTATAATTATTTTAATTTTGTAAATTTCAAAAAATTTATATTTTTACCCCTTGACCGTGTCTGACACGGTCAAATTCGCGTGTCGAGATAGTCAACGTGTCCAAAAAATTGACCGCATGTCGGACGCGTGTCGGTGTCCGACAAGTGTCTGACACAATTTTTTTTCAAAACAACGTATCAATGCTTCCTAGATAATGATGATGATGGTGAAGACAACGGTAAAATTTCACATGGTAGTTCGTTTGAAATAAGTTTAGACAATCTCAAAACATTTATTGAACCATTATTGTGTGATTTTATTTTATTTTATACATTCTTGATTATTTAAATTCATTGACCTTATTTCTTTGTGAAAGATTGTATACTCATAGATCTTCAATTTATATTATCCATATTTCTAGAGTGCATATATTAATGTTATTAAACCCGACCCAGGAATTGAGCCGGTCAGGGTACTGGGTCAATAGGTCACTGGTCGGATCGATGGGTCACTGATCAGACCGGATGACCCGATAAGCTCAAAAATTATTCAATCACATTTTTACAAGTTCATGAAGCACAAATAAATGAAAATACACGTTATTACTATGTCTATTTAAATTGCAACTCATAATCCCCATAAGCATACCTCTCAATGACATTGAACTCATTTTTTCAAATTCATCTACATTGAAATGACATATGTCACATTCTCTTAATTTATTATTCTGCAAATTGCTTCAGTATTGGAAGCTGAAATTTGAGGTCATTGTAGAAGAATATACTAGTAAAGAAAATAACAAAAAGTTTTTAAAAAAAAATTTATATTTTTTTCTGACAAGATGAAACAATTTTTATTTTTTTGTTATTTTTTTTATTTTATAAAAATTCATGACCCGATTGGGTCACCGATTTTGACTGGATTTGGCCGGTTTTGTCCGGGTCTGGTGCATGATCGGTCCAATGCGTGACCCGAATCGATTCGATGACCGATTCGTTGGGTTCCTGGTCGACCCGTCCGGGTCGGGTCGGGTTTCACAACAATGGTATATATCATATCTTAAACACTTTCCAGACAATATCTTTGTGATTGAGGGTAGTGAGACCCAAAGATTTTTTAAGGTTGCTAAGCTCCCGAGAATCTTGGTGGTTGAAAGGTTTTTAAACACTCGAGAAACTTCAAGATTATGAGTTTTCTAAGCAACCATAAAGCTTAGAGGATTGTAAGGTTTTCAAGCACCCAAAAGCTTGAATGTTGTAAAGGTTTATCAAGAATACATAAAGCTTAACCAATAGTGAAGAATTATTGAACGACTTGGAATTTGGGCATCGGTCACAAGTGAAATTGTTTGTCATTTTGTTATATATATTTGATATTGATTAGAACGAATATTCGAGACAATTACGAGTTGTTTTCAATTTAATATTAACTTAAATTTAACAAAGTCTGGAAGAGTAGTGCTTTATTTTGCATGGATATTATTTTTGGAAGAAACCCGCTTAAAGTAATTGTTGTAAATTGTGCATAATAAAGCTTAGTCATGGATGTTAATGGAGGCACTCATTTCCTAGGTGGGTTGACCTACTTGGAAGGGAAAAGACCCATTTAGGTCTATCGAGGGAAAGCAACTTGCGACTAATAGCGTGTGGGGTGCATGCGAGCTCATTCTTAACTTTATTTACACCAAATTTTACTCACGTAGTCTTAGAATTAAATATTATATTTGAGCATTTTTTTTATTTTCCATTACAATAAATATTTAAAAGAAAAATTAAAATTTATAATATATTTTATAACTTTTTTGGGATATATTTTTATGAAAAATATTGTATTTTCTATTGATAATGATGTATTGATACCAATTCCCCAATAATGGTGCCCTTTATTATGTTTATAATAATTATATTTATTGTCCTATGCTTCTTTCGAAAACAAATTGATTTGCTATTATTTTAAGTTTCATTATATAATATATAGGGAGAGAATTTGCTTCATAGCCATGATTATGATTTTTAAACCCAATTTAACATTCAATGTTGTTTAATATTTTAATGAGTTAAATTATGAAAAATAACAATGGTTTCATGCCTTATTTCATATTTGAAATCAATGCTTTTGTTGCCACATGCGTGTGTTTCAAACAAATTTTATTATGATACAACTGATTTGTGGAAGTTGTAATTGAGAGTTGGAAGGGATTGTTGGGCACAAGCCTCACAAAATTGAAAAGGTAAAAATCTAGCAAGTGTAGCTTGGAACTTTGATTATGTGCATATTGATAGCCCTCAAAAG